AGTGTCGTTCTGTCATATGATAACACACTGGTAGTAGTGGGGGTGGGGGTACAGAACACACATTAGTTGTTGGTTTTTTCGATTGACTATCCCATTATTACCCTTAGTCTAATATTTCCCTCCCAGAAATCATACACCCCAATCATGTCTGTCCAACCGTACCACTGAGTTTGGTCAATGATAACTTTTCTCTAATTCTATGCTTAACTTTCCCAAATGAATGCAGACCACATGTCTGTAGCTACAGCCTGCCTGTAACTAATGGTTACATATTCTCTCCAGTGTTTCCCTCTTTTCTATATTAACAACCTGTCTATAACGACCCCTCATCTATGAAGGTTCTTGGTGCTTTAGGGCAGCCTTTCGATAGGCAGATTTAATATTAAATACTATACTGTGCTCCAGAGAGACAAATGAAGTTAGACATTGGTCGACCAGTGATTTTTCTACCTCTTTCTAACAGGGGCCTATGCTTTGTGACTTTGGGGAAATATCGCATACAAAAAGGTGATTTTTGCAATGATTTTGGGAAAACACAGCAGAAAATATCCAGGAGACCAGGGGAAGGGCCTTGAAATGAATGCATAATCAAAATCTGAAATACAAACCCTGTCAATATCCACAGACAGGACCAGAGGCTGTGGTAGATAGAACCCAAGTTGATGGTGATCACCCCCTCTCAGTATCTCTACCTCATCAATACCAATATACATCCAATCTCCAGTCACACACAAGGCTGGTCAGGACGTCAGGGGAACAGAGACAAATATCTCCAGACTTCTCCCAAACCCCATATCAGGAACATTAAACCTATCACATGCATGCTTTATAGACTAGCTGTATGTATGGTAGTGTGTATTTGTAAATCATTGTAATGTTTGCTCCAATGTAACTTGTAATGATTAAATAATATATTTGGAAACAAACAGTATGCCTTAATATGGGAGGACACTAAGATTTCTCACGAAGCCCTACATTAAGTCAGGCAGGTGACCCCATACACTTTTCATGTCCGATCAGAGTCGAACCAAACCCAGGCTGTCTTGGTGATGAACTAACCACTACAACACCCCACCACCATACTAAGATACAGACATTTTGTTCATACAATATATTTATGGATGTTATTATAAGTACAGTATTCACACAGTTCAAGATTTACATTTAGCAGTAAAATACAAGTTCATAACTGTTCCGCTACACAGTAGATACTAAGTACTTTTACTTCTGTAAGGAAACTACTGATCTTGGTAAGAAACGACTGTGGTTTGAAACACTAGATCTATAAAAGTGCCTTTTTTATATCGGCTAGAGAGAGGTAAAAAAAACGAAGAAGACCAAACTATATTGTACAGATGGAAAGTTATAGAACCCATGATTGGAGGTTTTATGGCCATAAAAAGAAAAGCAACCATTAAATGTCATCAAGTTACATCTGACAGACACTGAACAAATATAGGTATAACGATCGGGAGTCGGCCTTTTTTATGATAAAGACCAGGAGAGGTATGGCACCTGTCTCTGAAACCAAATAAAAGTGACAAGGATGATCTACTATCTCATCAAACTCGACAACTTTGACTTTTTAATTCGAAGCAAAAAATGTTTTAATAGTGGCCTGTCCCAATCTAATATTTTCATGCGCCAAGGTTACCAAGTTCATTGGCTTGGAAATTGTTTATTGAACAAGAAACAAAACCACGAGGGACAGCGTGGAAATAAATTAGCACTATTAAAACACTGAAGGATTCAATGAGAGAATTATAACACAACAGAAATAACCCAGTAAACAACAGAGACAAATAAAATAAAAAAGTTTTTTTTTATTGTTTTACGAAGAAATAATTAGAAGATAACAAATTTGTAAATTTCAATAAATGAAATGCAAATATCTTTTCATTATTGACTAATTAAGGCTTAATTTCAATGTTAGAGAGAAATGGTGACCTTGACCTTTCACCTTCTGACCTCATACTGATGGCAAGCATCAGCTATACTGTGAACAGGAAGATATGTCTGATATACATAACTCTAAAATAAAAGCCCCTCAAACAAACTGATTTAAAAAATAATGTTTCAACAAATAGACAAAGCAATAAACTCAAATTATTCAAAATCTTCCTAATCTTTAACATGAATGAAAGAAAAGTTAAATAAAAGGGTAAAAAATGAAAACCATGAACTTTCGTGGAAAGCCAACTTCCCTGTTTTTAACGGATATGAAGGTAGAATTTATGACTTTGTGACATACACTTTTCATTGTAACCACAAGTCTTCCTGTCACAGGAAATAAAAGTCAAATTCTGATTAACCACTCATCCCAACAACACAACAGTTAAAAAAAATCTAAGTGTTTGAAATATTTTAATGTCAGATGGAAGCCTCAAAAAATTTAAACTATAAAATCGATGATTGCCAATTCATGAGATAAGTGATTATATAGAACAGAACAATACCTAGAGGTCACGACCTCTGGACTAAGATGAGACAGAAGGAGGTTTACCAGTGATTAGCCGTGGAATTAAGAACAGGAAGTTTAATACTTTTAGTTAACATTCTGACACTGAAGGTTGGCAAGGTTACCGAAAGATCATGTGAAAGAGAATCCTTTCAGAATTTTTAATCCACCACTCCCAAATATTTATAAAACTGTGGCCAGGAATTTCTCCTATAAGGCCATGTGGCCAAATCAGATAAAATGCAATGCTTGTTAAACTTTTGGTTCTAACAAACCCCATCGTCCAGATGGACCCTCATCAATAACAAAAGACAGAAGGCAGCAAATTGAAACCCAAACAGCCAACAGTAGCCGGATTTGGGTCAAGCCACCATCTACTAGAAATAATTTGATAAAGCTGCGAGTAGTAATGTATCTATTTTCATTCAAGACATACTCTGTTTGGTCTTCTGAATCAAATTTTGTCTACAAAGATTTAGGAAGATTCCTTCCCTTGTTTGTTCTTTGGTTCTTGGGTAAATGATGCTGCCCTGACAAAGGTTAGACCATAAAACACTGATGGCATCCCATCACTTAGTGTGCACCTCCCTACAAATGAGCCTTCTCCCTCCCTAAAACACATGCTTTTCATGTTGGGAGCCTATAAAGGACACCCTTCCAAAGTGAGAGGTCTTGGTGTGCCAGTGTTTCCCTTCAATGGTTATGTACACTCCTGAACTACAAGTCACCTTACATGTTTGAACATCAGATACAAACCAGTTGCTTGTGTGGGTTTTTTTGTTATATTTCTTCAATGAAAAGAAATTCTTTGTTTTTCATGTAGCTCTCATCTGCTGAATAACAAGACTGTCTTCACCAGACCTAGTATCAGAATAGACTGGTACAGACATCATAGAAATGGGTTTCACACTGAGAGCCGAGCTGATTGGTGTGACTTTGATCTCCCTGTATGGTGCAAGCTTAGATCTAAATGATGGCAGGAAAGACCTCCTCAACATCAGATACCAGTTGTCCCTCTATACCAATCAACACACCATAACTTGTGAAGACGGTAATAATTTGGATAACTAACTACACAATACATTTGATTAAGGTATTCCTCTCAAGCTGGTAACTTAAACAACTGATTGGCTGAGGAATTAGTAACTGGTTTGTACTCAAAGGTTGATTAATTAACAGAGATATACTCGTTCCATTTATTGTACTTGGGTTTCCTGTTTGTATGAAACCTTTCATCAAAATGTACCACAGAATGTGAGGAAACAATATCTGTATGTCCTTCTTTATACCCTAGGCCTAAAAATAACATTGTGATGAAAGCATGTCCCTATATCCTACTATCGTAATATCATAGTGGGGAAAGCTTGTTCCTGTAATATACTGTATATACTATTAATATTGTTGTGGTAGGAACATGTTTTTAAAGCTGTTGACATCTATTTTGCTTGAAGTATTTTTTTCTGAGCAGTCCCTTTTAAGACCTACATAATAACATACATGATAAAGTAACCCTTTCAAAATAATTACTCTTTAACGACATTTTTGAGCACATATCATCACTTCGTTTTACCCTACGACAGTTACCATTCTTAGTTGGCTCTTTTATTAACTGACCGCAAAATTGAAAATTAAATTTGTAACGAGATTTAATAACCTGCATGACGACACTTAGGTTTGTGTACTTGATGATCATAACACATTTTGACCCTCCAGCAAATGTTAACAGAAAACCATGGGCCATCTTTAAAAAACATATTAAAGACCGATGTCATTAAGATTGAAAAAAGGCCCAACCTGTCATACTGAAAGTATTCAAGTGGTACGTCCATATTTAAATAAACCTGTGTCATCTTCAAATTCTGTAAAAATATTCTAATGGAAGAGGAAACAAGTGAATGCTTGAAATTTATAGTTATCTGTATTTGTGCATATTCTGGTCTAAATGATGTATGTACATGTCTTCATCAGAATCCAACCACTCCTTGCCTTAAGAGTCTGAAAGAGGCATAATGCCTTATACTGTACACTATAGATCATAATGCCTTATACTGTACACTATAGATCATAATGCCTTATACTGTACACTATAGATCATAATGCCTTATACTGTACACTATAGATCATTATGTTGATGACTTTGACCTTATCACACAAGTTTATAAAACTTACCTAAAGTAAACTTTAAATTCCCATAAAATCCATTTTACTATGTTCATACTTCCTGGATGATAACCAATAAATAAATTGTCCGGTAAGTCATGAATAAACTGTCCGGTAATGTCCGGTAGGTCATGAATAAACTGTCCGGTAATGTCCGGTAGGTCATGAATTGTAATTTTTGACACCTGTAACTTACATAAAAGTCTCTCTGAAGACTGTCTAGCAACATCCCATAATATCAGAATTTCTCTGATGATACTACTTCGTTAGAATCACTTTTTCAAAATTATCTTAACAATGTGTTACTCCTGTTCATAACTACAGACATATTCATTCCTCATTCAGATGATTTTTTGACATTTTGAAAATTTCGGAAACTTACCCGCACTTTGGGTACGACCCTTCGCATACACTCATCATGACTCTCTGTGTCCCGTAGTAGGTCGGGAAGGTTGTGGATTACACTAATTCTTTGTACTTCCTGGCCAGAGCTGTAAAGATAAAGAGAAAACAACATTAGAATGACCTATATATATTCTGTTTCATCTTCCTCTGCTAACTTCAATTTAAGACAGTAAAATTTTGAACTTAGGAAAGTTTCTGGTAAACCAACTGTTATATACATTTACTGCCCTTGTATAGGGAAACTCAAGTCCGAGTGAAACATGGTTAAACCAGGGAAAACAAACGTAGTGATTCCCTACCACAAGGGCCATTAATATTTTATTATTCCAAAATAAAACAATAACACAATATCCTGAAGATTACGAGGATGATACGCCATTGTTGTCGGCTGCTTCAGTCGCTCGTAACTTGGTTGCGGTGGCTCTTCCCCATTGTCCAAGTGACAGGGGAAACTCGAGTGTGTGAGGGTGACACAATGTTTTATTTCCCCGTCATGTATTAATACAATGCAATCAAACACATTGTTATACAGGTAACGTATACTATCCATTACATCCAAGTCAAAAATATTTTCGTCATCGCTGTAAAATATAAGCAATTTAGCCTAGTAATATATCCAAAGAGATGGTTTACAAAATCACATACTGACATAACAAGAATGGTTTACATTTTTTTCTAATACAGTTCAGAAGCTGACAACTGGAGGGAAGTATAATTGTACCAGTGATGAAATACAAACATTTTCCGCAGTAATTTGTGACGACAACTTAATTTGCGATAAAAAGACAATTTGCAACTTTAAACAATTTGTGACAAAACAACTATTTCTGGCATATAAAATTTCTGACAATGGCAATTACTTATATAAAAGACAATTTCTGACAAAAACACTTTGTGATGAAAACAAATTGAAACAAAACCTGATTTTACATTAACATCTTTCCACTATGCTTTTTATAATCATTTAGGTATACCAGCAGATTGATGTTTGCAGAATAGGGCCCAGCCAGCTTAAACTGATACTGCATATACATTTTCTCATTAAAAACAACTGTTTGGTATACAATAACAAAAAAAATCTTTGTGAAATGTAAGCAATATGTCTTTAAATAGCATACAATGTACAAGTACAATGAATCTAGTTGTGTGCCAGGTTTATGTAGGAGACACAGGGTCAAAAAGTGGGGCTTCCTTCTAGGGTAATGTAAACATGACGCTGTACAGACTTTGGGCCGTCCGTTGGAATCCAAAAGAAAAATATTTCCACAAAGAATACAGTTTGCAAGTGCAGTGTACTCTAAGACTAAATCCTGATAGCTCTCTACTAGTGCAGTGTATTTAAAGACTTAATCCTGATAGCTCTCTACTAGTGCAGTGTACTCTAAGACTTATCCTGATAGCTCTCTACTAGTGCAGTGTACTCTAAGACTTAATCCTGATAGCTCTCTACTAAGGTCTGAGATCAATAGGTTTCAATGGACTTACGTCTCAACATTGTATTTGGCAGCAGTGGATGTAATAGACTATTATCATTTAACTTTGTCTGCGGTTTAGAAAGACACAAATCACTTTAGATTGAATATGTAAGCTTATTCATAGACCAGTTACCATAGTTATAATTGTGCCATACTTTCAAATTCCTCGGTTCTGTCTTCAATACCCCAATCTTAAGCAATTCATTTTTTTTTTACTTCAAATGTTCCATAATCATATTGATAGGAGTTTCACTCACTGAATGAAGATTGTTTCACCATCCATTTGATACAAATGGTAAGACTTATTTTGAAGAGCTTTCTGTGTATTGAGAAATGCATAATACTATCAAACTGATCCAATTTCTACCAGCTTACTAAGACTGCTTCAACCGCTGTAGATCTCATACAATATTTGCACTGGTTCAAACTCTCTAGAACTCGTAGCCAGTTTAGACTGGTTCAAATGCGAAAACTTGCGTTTACTGGAGCTGCTATGAATGCTATAAACCTCAATATAGCCTACTAGAGCTGGTTTAATAATCCTCACAGCCAATTGAACTACTTCAAATGCTGGAACCCATAGCCTAGGAGGACTACTCGTACATCCATTTCTATACCCAATTGGGACTTTTTGAAATCTGGAACCTTCAAATGCTGAAAATTCAGCCAATTTGGAACGGCTTTAAACAGTATGAACCTCACAGCCTGCTGGGACTGCTTTAAACTCTTAGACCTGTTAGTCTAATGGAACAGCTTCAAAAGCTATAGATGTAACCTAGCAGCTTACTGGGACTGCTTCAAACTCTAGACCTATTAGTCTAATGGAACAGCTTCAAACAGTATGAACCTCACAGCCTGCTGGGACTGCTTCAAACTCTAGACCTATTAGTCTAATGAAACAGCTTCAAAGAGTATGAACCTCACAGTCTGCTGGGACTGCTTCAAACTCTAGACCTATTAGTCTAATAGAACAGCTTCAAACAGTATGAACCTCACAGCCTGCTGGGACTGCTTCAAACTCTAGACCTATTAGCTTAGTGGAACAGCTTCAACAGCTAGAAATGTGACCTATCATTTTACTGGGACTGCTTTAAACTCTAGGCCTATTAGTCTAATGGAACAGCTTCAAAAACTATAAATGCAACCTAGCAGCTTACTGGGACTGCTTTAAACTCTAGGCCTATTAGTCTAATGGAACAGCTTCAAAAACTATAAATTTAACCTAGCAGCTTACTGGGACTGCTTCAAACTCTAGACCTTTTAGTCTCATGGAACAGCTTCAAACAGTAAGAACCTCACAGCCTGCTGGGACTACTTCAAACTCTATAGACCTGTAAGTCTAATGGAACAGCTTCAAACAGTATGAACCTCACAGCCTGATGGGACTGTTTCAAACTCTAGACCTATTAGCTTAAAGTAGAACAGCTTCAAACAGTATGAACCTCACAGCCTGCTGGGACCGCTTCAAATTCTAGACCTATTAGCTTAGTGGAACAGCTTCGAAAGCTAGAAATGTAACCTCAGAGCTTACTGGGACTGCTTCAAATTTTACAGACCTATTAGCTTAGTGGAACAGCTTCAAAATCTAGAAATGTAACCTCACAGCCTACTGCTGGGACTATTTCTATCACCCCCATCATGTCCAATGAAGCCATGAAATGTAATATAACCTGTTTGGTTTTGGAGTGTGTGAAGGGAGGAAGATGTGATGGATGAGTTTGTATATTAGCTTTGAAGGTTTCTTCCCCCCAAGTCCATCTTCACAGTCCAGCATCAACATCCAGCTGACCTGCATGACCTCAGCTTCCTCATCACAACTTCTCACCAGAAAAGAGATTTCTTGTAGCATGATCAACATGACATTGTTTGCCAGATCTATATTATAATGATCGTAGAATTTTTTAATGAACCTGCTGAAAAGTTAGAACTTTTTATCTTACATGATATTAACTGTTTTTAACTGATTTAGTAACAAGTGCCAATGCTTTATGAATCAATATATTCTGGAAAGACAACCAGACATTGACAGGCGATGTATAACCTGAAAATCTGCCCACACCAAGCTATGGGGTAGTGTCACAACAATTAGTTGCCCCAAGAGTATAGTAGCCTTCAGTGTGACTCTTCTCTCTTCACCAGAACCAGTATATCTTTACCATTGACAACTCCAATAAATTATAACATTTTACTAAAATATCATTTCATAATTAACATTAAATATGTTCATGTTTGGATTTAAAATGACAGTTATTGCATTAAAATACCAGTTATAAGGTTTTTATATCAAAATTGAGAAAAAAAATATCGGCAAAGTTTGAGATATGAACCTGACTAAGCTGGAATGTATCGATGGTTAACCCAGTCAATCTCAAACTGATTATCAAAACCTTACGGACTAACCTTACAATTATCATACAAGTTTGTCACCCAAATAAATTAGCTCTTGATTACAGTTCTTATTGGACAGAAAAAAAATGTGATTTGACTAATTTAATCAGGACTAATTTACCAGACCTCGTGGTAATTGTCTTCCTCTGATGTTTAATTGACATCACACATTCGCATTTATAGATTTTTTTCCCCCAAGCTTTTCCTCTTGACTTATTTCCGTTCAATTCCTCATGGATAATGATCTTTGAATTCTAAAACATGTGAACGGGGATTTTACAAATTGATTTTGAACATTTCCGAATTTAAATACTAAGTCTTCAACTCAAGTACTGGTTGAATGCACATTTAATTCATAACTGCTCGCAGGCAGAACGTAAAAGCGAGCTGTATTAACAAGATACATAATTTTATTCAAATAAAACACACATTCAATGTTTTGTAAATCGTGACAGCTGATACACAATTTTATTGAGAATCATTTTAAACCACACATCATGTGTTTTGTATTTCCTGACATGATACCTAATTCTATAAAAATAAATTCTGAACTTACATATAAAATGTTTTAAAACGACAAAATATGCCCGGGAGCCACCATTCAGCTTAAGTGCTTTCTTTAGGCGGTTTCAAAGACCACGTTCCACCTATCTTAACTATTGTAGGCTGTATTGTAGGCCGTATTGATGCCCTCGCTCGTAACATTTAATTGCAGAACATGATATAAAATGCAAACAAAAAATCTAATTTACTGAAGTAGTTCAGGTGACTCTAATTTCCCTAATGATGTTATTTAAACTACGGACAGTTTAAACACTTGGAGAATCTGATCGGACGGTAGGGGACATGTTCAACAAAGGGCGAACAAATATAGTTATGGTAAATATGCTGAGAAAGGTCATTTGTTCCACCAAGGTAAATTGTTTTGGAAATAAATAAGTCACATAATAAGGTTTGTGAATAGGTGACTATGTCAGGATGGTTTTGGAGTGGCTGTTGACCTGACATCCACTGCTACCAGCAATAAAGTCCGGGTGTTTAAGGTGTTTGACATCATGTCGTACCTACAATAACATTTACTATCAAAGTCGATGACACAGCTCTGGATAGTGTCCAAATATTTATACAGATGAATGCCACTTTCTATATCAAACATTCTCTATTAGTAAGAGAACCCCATAAACTTCTGTTGGTCATTTTCTGTTGGTCATTAACTTCTGTTG